CATCTACGCTCCTGGCCTGTGGGCCCACCTAACTGCTTCCGCTGCTACTCTGTGTGCTGCACGCCCCGTGGCGTGCCCCTCGCGCAACCCTTAGTGGCCTCGTCGCCACCCCTCGCGGCCCCGTCGCCGCCCTTCTCGGCCCCTCGCGGCCCCTTCGCGGCCCCGTCGCCGACCTTTCAGGCCCCTCGCGGCCCCTTCGCGGCCCCGTCGCCGCCCCCAACGACCCCGTCGCCGACCTTTCAGGCCCCTCGCGGCCCCTTCGCGCCCCCGTCGCCGCCCCTATCAGCCCCGTCGCCGCCTCCAGCGGCCCCGTCGCCACCCCTATTTTCCCCGTCGCCGCCTCCAGCGGCCCCGTGGCCGCCCCTTGCGGCCCCGTCGCCGCCCCTTTCGGCCCTGCCTCAACCCTGCCCCGGCCCCGCCCCAGCCATGCTCCGTCGCCTGTCGCGGCGCACCGGGGGCACGTGCACCGCCCCCCCCCCTCTTCTCCCGTCGCCTGTCGAGGCGACCTGAGGGGGCCGCGGGGGGGGGGGGGGGGGGGGGGGGGGGGGGGGGCGAGCGTCGCCCCTTTTGCCGCCTGCTTTGGCGCCCTGGGAGGCCGCGCGTCGGCCCCCCCCTTCCCCCCCCCCCCCCCCCCCGTAACCTCCCTACCCACCATCCCGCCCTGCCCTGTGTTAGGGTTCGGGGGTGGCGAGTAGGGGGTGGCGGGTGTGTGGTCTCCCCTGCTCCTCCTCCTCCTCTGTCTCCCACTGCTGCAGCTGCTGCTGAGGGGGGTGGGTGTGTGGGAGTCGACGGAGTGGTGCTAGGGGGTGGGGTGTGAGTGAACCTAGGGTGCAGCCGGGGGTGTGTGAAAGGGGGGTGCTGTGGGAGTGGAACTAGGGTTTGAGCAGGGGGTGTGTGTCGAGGGGTGTGGGGCAGCTGGAGGAGGTTGTGTGAAGGTAGCTGTTGTGTCGCCTGCAGCGCCTGTAGTCCGTCGCCCTTGCTTCGGTAGCCAGTGAGCCTGTTGCACCAGTCGCCAGTGGGTCCGTTGCTCCTGCCACACTTGGGTTTGCTACATGTATCCCATTGCTTGCTAGTGAAAACCCTCTTCTGCTGTTCTCATTCCTGCTTGCTATTTTGACATGCCATCAGAGCGTCTACACTCCTGGCCTATGGGCCCACCTGCTTCCGCTGCTGTACTGTCTGTCGCGCGCCCCGTGGCGCGCGACGTTTTCTCTTCCCGCCACGCGTGTGACGTTTTCTTTTCCTGCCCGCCGCAAGCCCCGGGCGCGCGGCAGTTTTCTGCTCGGTGCGTCACCCCACCTAACCCGCACCCCGCCCCGTGGGACCCGCGCGCCGCCCCTGCTGGATCCGCGCGACGCCTTGCGGGATCCGCGCGCCTCCCCTGCTGGATCCGCGCGACGCCTTGCGGGATCCGCGCGCTGCCCTGCTGGACCCGCGCGACACCCTGCGGGACCCGCGCGTCGCCCCGCTGGACCCGCGCGACGCCCTGCGAGCTCGCGCGCTGCCCCGCTGGGCCCGCGCGCCGCCCTGCGGGACTCGCGCGCCGCCCCTGCTGGACCCACGCGCTGCCCCGCTGGACCCGCGCGCCGCCCCTCCTGGACCCGCCTGCCGCCCGCGCCCTGCCCGTTGCGAGCGCCCCACAGCCCGCCCGCTCCCTGCACGTCGCGACGCTGCCCGCCCTCCCCCCTCCTCCTTCGACTTCGTGCTGCGCATGCAGCCGTGTCGAGGGTATGGGGGTGGCGGGAGTAAGGGGGGGTATGGGGGTGGTGGGAGTGCGTGACCAGCAGCCCCTCCTCCTCCTCCGTCTCCCACTGCTGCAGCTGCCGCTGAGGGGGGTGGGTGTGTGGGAGCCTAGGGAGTGGCGCTAGGGGGGTGTCGTGGGAGTGGAGCTAGGGGTACAGCAAGGGGTGTGTGAAAGGGGTGTGGGACAGTTGGGGGAGGTTGAACGGAGGTAGCTGACGTAACGTCAGCAGCGCCAGTAGTCCGGGGGTCACCCTTGCTCCGGTAGCCCAGCGAGCCTGCTGCGCCAGTCGCCCGTGGTCCGTTGCTCCAGCCCCGCTCGTCTTAGCCGCGGAGCCAGTGACTCCAGTAGTCCGGATACCCTTGCTTGTGTCCGGTAGCCACCGTGCACGCCGCTCCTGTTGCCCGTGTGTCTGTCCCTTCACCCGTCACCTTTTATCTCCACTCCTCTCACAGTCCCTCCTCCTCCTCACTTGCCCTCTGTGACTGCATCTAGCTTTGCTTGTGCTTGTGAACTTCTTATGCGACTGCTTGCTGTGCTGATCATACCCCACTTTGCCTATGGAGGTGTGTCAGAATGTGTTATTTGTCTAGTCTGCAGTGGGGTACTCTATAGTGAGTGCAGCCAACTAGGGTTTGCTATATGTACCGTATCCCATTGCTTGCTAGTGAAAACCCTCTTCTGCTGTTCTCATTCCTGCTTGCTATTTTGACATCCACGTCAGCCTACTTCGCCCCTACATCCCAACCACAAGTCAACTGCCTCGTCACCGCCCGCCATCCATGACTCGCCCTTTATCGGAGGCGATCATTGAGCCCGAGAAGATTTTGAGCCATCGGATTCGACACCCCACAGGCATTAGGAGGATCGAGTTTCTCGTTCGCTGGAAGGACCGCACACCAACTGAAGATAGCTAGGTGCCCTTGGCCAACATTGAAAACCACCCTGTTGTACAAGTGTACCTGAGGAGCCGGGGTTTCCGCGATATACACGCACTCGCGTAGCGGAGGGGGCTTCTTGAGGAGGGGGGGTAGTGTAAGGAATTTTCTCAACATTCCTTACCGCGACCTGCAACATCGCGTATAGCAACAGCCGTTGTTCGCCCGTTACTACTAACGGGGCTTCGCCGATTTCGCGCGCACTGTTTCACCAAACCATGCACCGCTGACCTGGCCGTGTCGGCCTACGCTTCGGGACTGGCCCGAGCCTCAATGCCAGCCTAGCACTAGCTAGCTCGTACGCACCGCGTTACCGTTTGCATGTTTCGCGTATAAATGTTCGCTCATGCCTTCGCTCACATTTTCTACTCGTTTGACACGTTAGTGCAATCCTCACTACCTCGATCCATTGCACCCGTAACAATTAGTCAATCCAAAAGCGCGGATAGAGCATTATGGAGCATGCTTTGTACCACGCTAATGCTTCTTTCCTTGGTGTGAGAATTGCACATGTTGCCGCCTCTATTGACATACGGTAAGAATGCGCATTGAATACATTTATCTGTAGGTGTGCCTGACTGCTTCCCCATCAGGCTTACTTGCACCATACACATGCTTGGTTTCGAAGCCTGTCATGTGGCGCTGCTGTTATTGATATGAAAATGTGCATTAAATACAAAACTCAATCGGAGTGCCTGGCTGTTTCGCCAGCAGGCTTACTCGCACTGTACACATGGTTGATTTCGAAGGTCGACTAGTACTGCCGCCGCTGCAGCCGCTGCTGTTGCTGGTAATCTTGCAATCTAACGATTCACTCTTGCTGCTTATCACCACCTCATGCTTGCCAGCTGTTGCAATTTGCCCTTCGCTGCTGCAATGGCTCAGGCCATGAACCTGTGAGCATTTATGACTGCTACACTCCAACAATGTAGACGGCTCTGCAGCAGGGGATGCTTCTGCCTTTCCTGCTCCTTCTCCTGCTCCTGCTCCTTCTCCTGCTCCTGCCCCTGCCCCTGCCCCTGCCCCTGCCCCTGCCCCTGCCCCTGCCCCTGCCCCTGCCCCTGCCCCTGCCCCTGCCCCTGCCCCTGCCCCTGCCCCTGCCCCTGCCCCTGCCCCTGCCCCTGCCCCTGCCCCTGCCCCTGCCCCTGCTCCTGCCCCTACCCCTGCCTGCAATTTCAAGGCTGCTCCTGTGCCTGCTCCTGCTGCTCCTTCTGTCATTGCATGACTCACACTCCTCTTGACTCGGGGCCCAACCCCTGGCTGGTTAGCCAGCAGGCTTACTCCTGCTGCTGATGCCCTCCTGCCCTCTCCTGCTGCTGATGCCCTCCTGCCCTCTCCTGCTGCTGATGCTCCTGTGCCTGCTCCTGCTGCTCCTTCTGTCATTGCATGACTCACTTCTGTCATTGCATGACTCACTTCTGTCATTGCATGACTCACTTCTGTCATTGCATGACTCACACTCCTCTTCACTCGGGGCCCAACCCACAGCTCCGCCCACGAATTGTTCTTCAGTCTTCTCCGCCAATCACCCTCACCCTTGGTCCCAGCCCCAGCCTGAGCCTCGGCCCGAACCTCAGCCTGAGCCTCGGGCCCAACCTCTGTCTTTTCCCCTGCAACCGTCTCACTCCCCTCCTGTCTTCTCCCATCCCCTTCCCTCTCCTCCTCTACCTCCCTCTCTCTCTGCCCCTGCTCCTCTTCCTCCTCCTCCCTCTCACCCCCCGCCTCCCCCTCTCCCTCCTCTCCTCTTCCCTCCAGTTCCAAATACAGGAAAATCTGCCCTCCCCCTCTCTGCACACCCACTGCCCTCTGCCCTCCTTTTCTCAGCAACTGCTGCAGCACTCTAGGAGTCAGATCCGCTCCTGCCGTCTTACCTACTCTAACGAAGAGGTCTCTAAGGAGGATGGGTGCCGGAGGGTAGTCCCGCCAGCAAGGTTTGGAATGCGGGGTACTGTTGGTGGTCACCCTACAGCTATGTCCTTTTTGTTTTTCCTGCCCCAGAAATGCGGGTGCGTGAGACTGCTGCCCCAGCAACTCGTTATGATGTGATCCTGTACTGTTCGAGTGCTGCAGTTTTTGTGGTTGGCACCAATACTTTTGTCCCTTAATGTCCTCTGCTCCTTCTGCTCCCTCTGCTCCCTCTTCCACGTCTGCTCTCTCTACTCCCTCTGCTGCAACCAGTTTTCCGCACCCATGTGAACGCCCAGAATCCTCCTTTCCTTCCTCCTCCTCCTCTCTCTCCTTCCCCTTAAATCTCTCCTTCGCCTCCTCCTCCCTTCTCACTACCTCCTCCCCCTCTCCCTTCTCCCTCATCCTCCGCTTCTCTAACTGCTGCAGCGACGGCAGCAGGGAGAAGATGGATCTTGCAGGAGCGTCCATGCCAGCAATGCGGCCAGCTGCACTGATGCGAATCCGACCAACCTGGGAGGAAGAGAACGAGACAAAGAAAGAGAGAAGAAAGGAACGATGAGGGACGAGTGTGTAAGTGAAGGGGCCGGCAGCAGGGAGAACATGGCTCGTGCAGGAGCGTCCATACCAGCAACGCGCCCAGATAAACTGATGTGGATTCCGCCAACCTGTGAGCACATGCGTGGAGTGAGAGCACATGCGTGGAGTGAGAGCACATGCGTGGAGTGAGAGCACATGCGTGGAGTGAGAGCACATGCGTGGAGTGAGAGCACATGCGTGGAGTGAGAGCACATGCGTGGAGTGAGAGCACATGCGTGGAGTGAGAGCAAGGGTGTGTGGGATGAATGCATGGGGTGGCAGCAGGGAGAAGATGGCTTGAGCAGGAGCGTCCATGCCAGCAATGCGCCCAGCTGGACTGATGCGGATCCGGCCAATCTGCAGGCAGAGAGGTAGAGACGGGGCGAACGAAGGCTGGGGATTCAGTGCAGGCATGAGATAAGGTGGTGGCAGCAGGGAGAACATAGCTCGAGCAGGAGCGTCCATATCAGCAATGCGACCAGATGCAAGCTGGTTTTATGAGAATTCTCAACGACCAAATGCAAGCTGGTTTTTGAGAATTCTCAACGACCAGATGCACTGATGCGGATTTGGCCGACCTGCAGGCAGAGAGGAAGAGAAGGGGAGAACAAAGGATGGGGTTTCAGTGCAGGCGTGTGTGAGAAGCGCATATGGGATGAGTGAATAGGGAATCAGCAGGTCAGGGCGAACATGGCTCGGGCAGGAAGCGTCCCTGCCAGCAATGCGCAGACAGTTTTTGAGGCGCCTCAAACATGGCTCGGGCAGGGGGGCGTCCCTACCAGCAATGCACAGACATCATACAGGCACAGGAACATGACCATGCCTACTCCTTCACTCATACCCCTTCCCTCACGAGGTGACTTTTGAGTCGACTCAAAAGACATCACACAGGCACAGGAACATGACCACGCCTTCTCCTTCACTCATTGCAGGGAGTTTTTGAGAATTCAAAAAATCTCCTCACACAGGCACAGGAACACGAACACGCCTTCTCTTGAGGCGCCTCAAAAGTCATCACAGAGACGCAGGAACATAAACACGCCTTCTCCTTCACTCATACCCCTTCCCTCACCTCTCTCACTGAGCCCATTTTCCACCTCACCTCAGCCTCCTCTCCTCAGCAGCCCTCCAGTGCAGTCCAAACAGGCAGGCGCCAGCAGTGCTGGTCTCCCCGATACCCTCACACACACGCACACATACCCTCTCTTTCACTCACCTCTCCCATCAAAGCCGTCTTCTTCCGCAATCGCCTCCCCCCAGCAGCCCGCCAGTGCAACCCGAACAGGCAGGCAGCAGCAGTGGTGGTCACACTGCTTGCACCACACTCACACAGGCACATGCATAGGCACAGACTCATACTCTCATTCCCTCACTCACCTCATTGCCTGCCTACGGACTCTCATTGCCTGCCTACAGACTCTCATTGCCTGCCTACAGACTCTCATTGCCTGCCTACAGACTCTCATTGCCTGCCAATTGAAGCCGTCTTCTTCGGCAATCGCCTCCCCCCAGCAGCCCGCCAGTGCAGCACGAACAGGCAGGCAGCAGCAGTGGTGGTCACACACACCCAAACACACACAAACACATACACATCTGCCCTCTCCTCCTCTCACCTCTGTCACTGGAGCCATTTTCTTTCTGAGCCTCCTTCCCCCAGCAGCCCTCCAGTGCAGGCCGAACAGGCAGGCAGCAGCAGTGCTTGTCTCAGTTACACACACACACCTGCGCTCTCTTTCACTCACCTCAGCAATTGAAACCATTTTCTTTCTGAGCCTCCTTCCGCCAGCAGCCCGCCAGTGCAGCTCGAACAGGCAGGCTGCAGCAGTGCTGGTCACAGGCTGCACCGCCCGCACCAAGGATTGGTTGTAACCGCCGATGCGGTTACCAACCATCGCAACGCCGATGATACAGGGGCCTGGGGAAGGGAGGAAGAGCAGGAAGGGTGGGTGTGGGGGTTAGGCGGGAGAAAGGCTGTAGCAGCAGTGATGGCCACAGGCTGCACCGCAAGCACCAAGCGTCTCGTGTAACCGCCAACGTGGTTACCAACCATTGCAACACCGAGGATACAGGGGCCTGTGGAAGAGAGGAAGACGGAGACAAGGGGAAAAGATGGGAGGAAGGGTTTGAGGAGGAAGGCTGTAGCAGCAGCAGAGGTGGTCACAGGCTTCACTGCGAGCACCCAGCGACTCGTTGTAACCGCCGATGCCGTTACCAACCATTGCAAAACCGAGGATCCTTTTGTGTCGACTCAAAATTCAAACCACCGATGCGGTTACCAACCATTGCAACACCGAGGATGCCAGGGGGACGAGACTCACCGCCTCCCCGCTCACTGCCGCTCGTAGAGAGGGTATTTTTGAGACGGTATTTTTGAGACGGTAGTTTTGAGACGTCTCAAAAACACCGTCTCAAAAACACCGAGGATGCCAGGGGGACGAGACTCACCGCCTCCCTGCTCACTGCCGCTCGGTCAAAGAGACCCGTGGGATCCAGAGGGGAACCAGACGGGGGGAGAGTACTTTTGAGAATTCTCAAAAGTACCGTCAACGTAGCTCGGCCAAAAAGACCCGTGGGATCCAGAGGGGAACCAGACGGGGGGAGAGTCGACAAGCCCTCAGGAAACAAGCAGAGACTCACCACAGGTCAACGGGATGCAGAGAGCGGAGGGGGAGCTTGGGATGTCCCTTGGGCAGAGCAGCAGGCGGCACTGCATTGTTCCGCCACACCGCCTCCCCTCTCACAGCCACCCGGCCAAAGAGTCTCACAGGGCACAGAGGGGAGAGGTACAAGCAAAGGAGCAAAGACTCACCACAGGTCAACGGAATACAGAGGGCGGAGGAGAGCTTGGGATGGCCCTTGGGCAGAGCAGCAGGCGGCACGGCATTGTTCCTCCACGCCGCCTCTCCCCTCAGCACCGCCCGGCCAGAGAGACGCAGTGCTTTGTTGGGCCCAGAGCAGAGAGGCAACAAGCCTCTTGCATGCTGTGCACGCTCAGGGAATGTGAAGAGACTCACCACAGGTCAGGGGTAAGCAGAGGGCCGACGAGAGCTTGGGAAGGCCCTTGGGTAGAGCAGCAGGCGGCACCGCATTGTTCCTCCACGCCGCCTCTCCCCTCAGCACCGCCCGGCCAGAGAGACGCAGTGCTTTGTTGGGCCCAGAGCAGAGAGGCAACAAGCCTCTTGCATGCTGTGCACGCTCAGGGAATTTGAAGAGACTCACCACAGGTCAGGGGTAAGCAGAGGGCCGACGAGAGCTTGGGAAGGCCCTTGGGTAGAGCAGCAGGCGGCACCGCATTGTTCCTCCACACCGCCTCCCCTCTCACAGCCGCCCGGCCAAAGAGGAAGAGTTCTTTCAGGAAAACAAGGACAGACGAAGAGACTCACCACAGGTCAACGATATGCAGAGAGCGGAGGAGAGCTTGGGATGGCCCTTGGGCAGAGCAGCAGGCGGCACGGCATTGTTCTGCCACACCGCCTCCCCTCTCACAGCCGCCCGGCCAAAGTGGCCGGCGGGATCCAGGGGGGAGAGCAGAAGCCCGGTTGAAGAGGGGAAAGAAGCTACAAGCAAAGGAGCAAAGACTCACCACAGGTCAAGGGTATGCAGAGAGCGGAGGAGAGCTTGGGATGTCCCTTGGGGAGAGCAGCAGGCGGCACGGCATTGTTCTGCCACACCGCCTCCCCTCTCACAGCCGCCCGGCCAAAGAGACCCGTTGGGTCAAGGGGGGAGAGTAGAAGCCCAGTTGAAGAGGAAGCGTCCAGGAAGGTTCCGTGCAGCTGATCCGTCCAGCCTACGTTGTTGATGGCGTGGGATCTAAGTGCGAGCGTGAAGCCTTGCGGTGGGTTGTGGGGTGAGTTGTGAGGTGGGTTCTGAGACCGGTTAAGTGCCAGTATAGAGCTTCCGGATGGGTTTGGAGGTGGGTTAAGTGCGAGTGTGGGGCTTTGAGGTTGGTTGATAGCCAGTGTGGGTAGTGTGGGTCCGGTGTCAGGCATGAGGTGGGGAAGAGTGCGAGCGAGTGTGGAACCTTTGGGTACGAGGCAGAGCGAGGCGATGAATCCAATGGAGGATTCTGTGAGGTCTAGGAGAGAACTGAGGAGGTTGGTGAAGACTGTCTGACCTGTTGGGGACTGGGAGAGGGGACGAGGGAAGAGGGAAGGAAAGGAGGAGCATTTGAAGGTATGAGGTAGAGGGAAGCGAGGAAGCCGAAGGATGATTCGGTGAGGTCTAGCAGAGAACTGAGGAGGTTGGTGAAGACTGTGTGACCTGCTGGGGACTGGGAGGGGGGACAGGGGAAGAGGGAGGAGAGGAACGGAGGAACACATGCGTTTGAGTCGACTCAAAAGAAAACACATGAGGCAGAGGCAGGCCGTGAAGCTGAAGGAGGATTCTGTCTAGCAGAGAGCTGAGAAGGTTGGTGAAGACGGTGTGACCTGTTGGGGACTGGGAGAGGGGACGAGGGGAAGAGGGAGGAGGGTCAGGCAGCACGGGAAATGAATGGAGGACATTTTGTTTGAGATTGATTTTGAGAATTCTCAAAATCAATCTCAGACAGGGGAAGAGGGAGGAGGGTCAGGCAGGCAGCGGGGGAAATGGATGGAGGAAGGAAAGGAGGATCATCTGAAGCACGATGCAGAGAGCGGCAATAGAAGCGAAGGAGGATTCGGTGAGGAGGTCTAGGAGGTCTAGGAAGGCGCTGAGGAGGTTGGTGAAAACAGTGTGACCTGTTGAGGGCTGAGAGGGGGAGCAGGGCAACAGAGGAACAGGGGAACAGAGGAACAGGGCAACAGAGGAACAGGGCAACAGAGGAACAGGGCAACAGAGGAACAGGGCAACAGAGGAACAGGGCAACAGAGGAACAGGGCAACAGAGGAACAGGGCAACAGAGGAACAGGGCAACAGAGGAACAGGGCAACAGAGGAACAGGGCAACAGAGGAACAGGGCAACAGAGGAACAGGGCAACAGAGGAACAGGGCAACAGAGGAACAGGGCAACAGAGGAACAGGGCAACAGAGGAACAGGGCAACAGAGGAACAGGGCAACAGAGGAACAGGGCAACAGAGGAACAGGGCAACAGAGGAACAGGGCAACAGAGGAACAGGGCAACAGAGGAACAGGGCAACAGAGTGTGGCGCTCTTGGGTGTGAGGCAGAGGGAGGCGATGAATCCTAAAGAGTATTCGGTGAGGTCTAGGGGAGAGCTGAGGAGGTTGGTGAACACTGTGTGACCTGTTGGGGACTGGGAGGGAGAGAAAAAGGGGGGGAGGATGGGGGACGAGGGAAAGAGGGAGGAGGAAGGTAGCGCAAACGCATAAGGCACGAGGCAGGGAGAGGCGATGAAACCGAAGGATGATTCGGTGAGGTCTGAGGGAGAGCTGAGGAGAACACGGTGTGACCTGCTGGGGAGTGGGAGGGGGAACAGGGGAGGGGGGAGAGGAAGGGAGGATCACATGAGGCAGAGGGAGGTGATGAATCCGAGAGATGATTCTGTGAGGTCTAGGAGGTCCGGACATGGCTCAGTGAGCTGCGTGCGTGCAGTGAGTCGATTTTTGAGTCGACTCAAAAATCGATTCTGTGAGGTCTAGGAGGTCTAGGAAGGCGCGGAGGAGGTTGGTTGGTGAAAACAGTGTGACCTGTTGGGGACTGGGGAAAAAGCTGGGAGGGGAGGAGGAGAGGAGGGTAATGCAGTGTAATCGCCAGTATCCCACTCAGTCGTTTGAACCATCCCACCTCACCCACTAACCCACTCACCCATTAATCCACTCAACCACTAACTCTCTCAACAACCCAGTACCCTACTCACCCGATCCTTCTTCATGTCCCAATGCGCTTTTTCCACAGCAGACAGCAACAACTCGTTATCCACCTCCTCCTCCTCCTCCTCCTCATCCTCCTCCTCCTCCTCCTCTTCCTCCTCCTCCTCTTCCTCCTTTTCCTCCTCCTCTCCATCTTCCTTCCCCTCTCCTATCCCCCCCCCTTCCAGTTCTCCCCTTTCCCCTTTCCCATTCCCCACCCCCACCCCATTCGCTTCCTCTTGCATTCCCCTCCTTTTCCCCACCAGCCTGCCTGGACACGAACTGACCAATAGCGGCTGGACAGCTAAGCACTCCTCTGCCAGCGTGACACCTGGCACAGGCCACAATCGCCCCGGATAGAATCTCCTGCTACAGCAGCCGCTACAGCTTCTGCTACAGCCACTATGGTGGTTGCACCTCCTGCTACAGCCGCCGCTGCAGCCGCCGTTACAGCCGCCGCTACAGCTACAACTACATCTCCTGCCACAGCTGCTGCTGCCATGGCCACTAGCACACCTGCTATTGCTGAGTGTTCTGCTACAAAAATCGCCACTGACAAAACCGCCACTCCCCGTAATTCCTCTGCAAAAACTGCTGCTGCTGTTACTTCTATCTCTCTTATCCTTATCGCTGGTTCTGCTGCTGCTGCTGCTGCTGCTGCTGCAGTGTGGGTTATGAGACAGCTCAGGTCTGCTGCACTTGCTGTTGCATAGTCTTCGCCTGAATTGGTAACCCCCCTCCTGCTCAAGCCTGTCAAGCACTGCACTTTCGAAACCATCCCATCGATCCCAATTTAAGCACAGGACTGACTGTCGTTCACACGGCACTGACTCGAGCGCACACGGTTCACCCAATCTTGAGCATACAGCCCCACTCCCACCACTCCTTGTGCCTCTGCTCTCTGTTTCCAACCCTTCTGCCGCCCTCCTCCCTCTCACCTCTCCTCCCTCACTCTCCTTCCTCCCCTTCCCCTCTCCACCCTCTTCTCCCTCCACACCCTCCTCTTTCTCCTCGTTCTCCTGCCTCTGATCGTCTCGGCACCCACACTCCCACTCCCCATCACTCCACTCTCCCTCCTCTCCCCAACCCTCCTCCTCCTCCTCCTCCACCTCCTCCTCCTCATCCACCTCCTCCCCCACCGCCTCCCCTTCAGACGAGCTGCTACTATCCGACTCCTCATCCTCTATAATCTCTGCTAAAGCCTCCGCTACAAGGGCAGAGCCAGCAGAAGGGGACCTGGGCAGCTGAATAGACCTCCGGGCAGGCGAAAAAGCCGGCGAGAAACCCGGCATTGGCGAGAGGGGAGAGGTAGGGGCGAAGGGGTGGCTGCCAGAGGGAGACAGGAGTCGGTTATTTGGCGAAAGGAGGCTGTTACTAGAGGAAACGAGGCGGCTATTAGCGAAATGGGGGCGGCTAATTGGCGAAAGGAGGCGGTTACGAGGGGATAGGAGGCTGCTGCTGCTGCTGCTGCTGTTAGGAGAAAGAAGGTTGTTGTCTTTAAAGGAAGGGATATCATTTCTCCTCTGTAAGAGGTTGTTTCCTCCAGCAGCAATCGTTTCGGCACGTGGCATGCGCTGCTGCACCGGCAGCACCGCTTGCTGCTGCAAGGGGAGAGCTTGAGAAGTAAGATTCTGCGAGGGATGATGACTCTGCATTGGAAGAAGATTCTGAGAAGGGAGGTTCTGCAGAGGAAGATTCTGCAGAGGAGGGTTTGGAGGAGGGTTTTGCAAGCGCAAAGCAGCAGCGGAGGAGAAAGGGCTATGCATGCCGCCATCAGCCATCTCATCAGGATTGAAACTGAAACTATCAGCAGAGGCAGCCCTCCTGTGCCCTTGCCGTCCCCTCCCCATCCTCCCCCCCACTCCTCCCCCTCTGCTGTTGCTGCTGGTGCCTCCGCTAGGGCTGCACCAGCGAGGCGGGCGAGCTAGGGACGGGCCGGAGGGGGTGACAGGAGAGTTTCTGCTGCTGCCTTCACGGCTGCTTTCATTCTGCCTGGTTTCGTGATTCTGCCTTCTTGTCTGGTTGGGCCCTGAGTGCTGCTCGTGCTGTCTCCTTGACTGGCTGTGACCGATCTCTTGCTGAGACTGATTCTGCTGAGCGATTAGCTGGTTATTTCCCTGGAGGTGCGGTGGAAAGCGGTTAGGATGGCGGGACGGGTGGAGGGCGGCAGAGGGGGAGACGGCAGGAGAGGAGGAGGGGGACGGGGAGGAGGAGGAGGAGGAGGAGGAGGTGGAGGGGAGGGACGGGGGAGCGCGTGGGGAGGAGGATCGGCGGGGGTGCAGCGGAGGGAGAGAGTGAGGAGAGTAGGAGTGGGGAGAGGCGTGAGGAGAGGAGTGACGAGAGGAGTGACGAGAGGAGTGACGAGAGGAGTGATGAGAGGAGTGGGGAGAGGAGTGATGGGAGGAGTGCGGAATGGTATGAGGAGAACAGGCGGAGGGGGTACTGTGGCTGCGAGGGTATGTGAAGGAGTTTCGGCGGCTGGAGCGGGAATTCGGGGGTGACACGGAGGCAGGAGGGCGGGTGAAACTCCTACGAGAAAGGGAGGAGGACGAAGCAACACCAACAGCAGCAGCAGGAGCAGCAGCGGGAGCTGCAGCAGGGGCAGACGGAGCAGCAGCAGCAGCAGCAGCAGCAGCAGCAGCAGCAGCAGCAGCAGCAGCAGCAGGAGTGGTAGAAGCAGGAGCAGAAGGAGCTTCAGCAGTGGTGGGGGGATAACTCGTGGTGCTTGTGCTGGTTGTGTCAGTGGTATTGGTAGCGCCAGTGCCACGTGGCAGCTGGTCATTGGGTTGCGGCGTCCCCCCTTGAAGCTGCCCCGCTTGCCACTGAACGAGCAGCTGCTGCAGCACCTGTTGTTGCTCTGAGGTGGTCCCGATCGCTAGCTTCATGGGCTGCCCACTCTGCTGCTGCGAATTCTGCTGCCCACTCGCCTGCTGCCCACTCGCCTGCTGCCCACCCAGCTGCTGCTCTGAGGTGGTTCCGATTGCCAGCGTCGATTGCTGCGTACTCTGCTGCAGCACCTGCTGCAGCTCCTCTGAGGTGATCCCTATTCCTAGCTTCATGGGTTTTCCACTCTGCTGCCGTAAACTCTGCTGCTGCACTATCTGCTGTTCCAGCAACTCACTTTCATGCGGCGTCCACTCAACTAGCACCTCCTTCAGCCCTTGCTCCTGCTGCTCCCCTTGCTGCTGCTGCCCGTGCTGCTCCCTTTGCTGCTGCTTCCCGCGTTCCTGTTCACTTCCCTGCCCCTGAATTCTCCCCTTCTCCCTTCCCTCTCGATTTACCTGTTGCTCCTTGCCATCTCCTCCCCCTTGCGGCCCCCCCTTGTTCGGCTCCTCCCCCTCCTCCTCCCCTTCCTCCTGCTCCTGCTCCTTCTTCTCGTTCTCCTTCTGCTCCTGCTGTTCCTGCTCCTCCACACGCCCCTTCACCCCAACTGCCAAACCACCGTCCAAACACACCGCCCCTTCCATATCCTCGCTACTAGCTGCTCCAGTTCTGCCAGAAACCCGAACTCCCTTCTCTTCAACTCCTGTCTTCTCCACGTGTAAAAGGCCTTGCTCCTCACGAGATCCCGCCACCTCCCTTTCCTGAATCCCCCGTACACGCGTCTCCTGCCCTGCTATAAATCTCTCCTGTCCCGGGTATTGCTCTGATAAACTTTTCATGATCCTCACCTTTCCTCCTCTGCCTTCCCCTCTAGAATCCCAACTCTCACCGCCCAAATCCTCATGTGGCGCCTCCTGACGTGGCTCCAGCGGCTGCTGCTTTCCCGCGTGAAACGGCCGGTGGCGTTGCCACCAGTGGCCTAGCCTCGCCTGTAGCTTCTTTCTCGGGATTTGCTGCATCTGCTGCATTTGCTGGAGTAACCTCATTGGACTTCGCCAGCTTCTCCTTTCCTCCTCCCCTTCAGTACCCGCTAATTTCGCCGATCTGGATCCGGAAATGTAAGAAACTCGGAAATTGGCATCTGTGGTGTAGCTAGGAGCCTCATTCCAGGCCGAATGATCGATTTTAATTGCCACGTCATCACTACCTTCTGCACTTTCTACTGCTTCGACTTCTCCTTCTCCTCCTCTTTCAGCAACGGAAGCAGCAAAAGCAGAAGCAGAAGCAAACTCGCCCTCGCCCTCTCGCGCTCCACCTTTCGCGTCTGATTGGAGATCCAGATCGCCTGATGGTAAGCTGTGAAACCGGGTCAGCTGCCGTCGATTTTCCCCAAGCTCCTTCGTTTCTCCGGATATCCGGACCCCGCCATTCGCACCGCGGCTGCTGCTGCTGCCGCTGCTGGTCACATTTTTTGGGTTAGTAACAAGGAAACCGCTGCGTACAGGGAGACAGCTGCTTTCCGTCGCGTTCCCCGAGCTACTAGCACTTAACCGCCAGATGGTGCTACTACTGCTGCTGCCGTCGATTCTGTTGCTGCTTCCGTCAATTCTGCTGCTGCTGCTGCCGTCAATTCTACCGCTTCTGCTTCTGCTGCCGTCGATTTTAATCGGGCTTCCCCCGCCGAGCCTCCAGCTGCTTGCCAAGCTGATGCTCCGTAACGCAATATCGAAACTCTTTCTAACAGAGCCTGGGGCATTTGCTCCGTCGTTGTTTTCCGATTTCTTAATCCAACCTTGCTTGGCAACGGCATTCGCTGAACCTTCTCGTGCGCTCTCCAGCGACCGCCTTTCGGCACGAGGCGATCCGTTAGTGGTATCGCTATACGCGATATTAGTGACTTCGGGATCGCGAAATTTTGTCTCACAATCGGAAGCATACTCCGCGACTGGGCTCAGCGGCAAGACGCTCGCCTCGGACGCTGACGACGACTCCATTCAGCCGGGAAAAAAAAAGGGGAAAGAAAGAAACTTCTCTCTACGCGAGTGAAATCATAACGCAGATGCGAAGGAAACCATTTCTAGACAAGACAACGCGAGACGAATCTTCAAGTCGGAGCTTGACAACCATAAGCTAGTCCTACGCACACCAACTCTTCACACAATCCAAGCCACTTGTATGTTGACCTTACAGGCACTCGACAGCTGCGTTCTGTAGGCACGACAGAGGGGGAGCGGTAAAAAGGAACCTTCCCCAACTGCTGGTTCGAAAGGGCGGTCAGCCCGGAAAATGGTTCCGAGCCTCCCAATCACCCTCCGAACGTAAACGAAGGTATGCAACAGAACAGCCATTGAGGAAGCCGCCCATTTCCCCTCCCCACCTTCCTACACTGGCAAATTTTGCCTCCTTCACCCCGCCCTTCGAAAACTGCTTTTTCGGGGAGGTGCATCGGAGGGGGAAGGGAGGCGCTGGGTTATTAACACCACACCGGAACCCTAGAAAGCAAACACCCCTAAGGGGGTATGCCATGTGCGCAATACCTACGCTGGGCCGTGCTGGGCCGCTGCGGCCCAGGGGCATTTGCATGGACCAGCAAGGACCAGCAAGGACCAGCGAACGGCCCAGGTGTGGACCCGACTTGCACCCGCCCACGGGCCAGCATGTACAGTTCGAGGCGCACGTACGAAAAGGATGCTCGACACGCAGGACCATTTCCAGAGCGACCCAAGGCGATGGGAATCGCATGCGAAAAAAACGTTTTGAATTTTTCGCCAAACGTATCTGCTGTCTGCGACATCTTGTTCGAGCGTGACCAGGTATACTTTTGATTTCGTCAACACTTCGTTTTCGAAGCTGCAATGCACTGTGCATAGCTCGTCCGCCGCAAATGATCCCCGGTACCAAGCGGGACCACTTTTGGAAGTGATCCTTCTAAAATGGTGCCCCCTTGTATTCGCTGGTCCATTTCCTTGTAAATGGACCAGCGCGCAATGTAACACCTCCTGACCTCGATAGCTCAAACAGGGACGCAGCAACACTAACAGGACAAAAAAATACAAGTTACCAAGGGTGTGCTAGGGGTTGAATTTCTTCCATCTGATTACCCTTGTCTCAATTTCAACCCTCGTTCTGACTTCGCGCTGCTCTATCTACCCATGAAGTGTGCGTGCGAGATTGTTCTTGTTTTTTCGTCATTACCTTCAGAGCCTTCCAACCGAGCATCCGAAATTTCCCACTATCGGTTGTAGCAGGGGGGTGGTGATGTCGAAGGAGAAACTGCGAGGAGCCATCGTCATTTCCCTTCGCTCCCCCTCCTCCCTCCCTTGGCGTATGCCTACGGAACGCAGCCGACGTGTCAATCAGTTCACATCACACCATGGTCCATGATCCCAAGGCCATGGCGTATGGCCTATGGCCCACCTGGGTTTCTTGTACGAGTTGAGTGGTACGGAAAGCTGCTGAAGAAGCTTCGGTTGTGGTGGCGTGGCGAAGGAAGGAAGCGGGGGAAGCGGAGTGGGAGTAGAGGTTGCGGGCGGGCGCCTGCCCGTCCCCCACGACTCGTTTCCCGCCCGCCAACCCATTCTTTTTTGCTTCCGCGCGCCATGAACGCGGCCGCGATGGTGTTCGGACCTTGTCCTGTGGTGGCGAAGTGGGTGGGCGGGGCAAGCGCGTGTATCCAGCTCATACCCTAAATAACTGCCATTTCATGCTCGTCACGACCAAGATCTGTTACAGTGTAAGGAAAATTCCTTTTCCTTCTCTACGCGTACATCACTATAGCACCACAGTCAACACCGTTACCACTCGCAACCCTCGCATCGACAATCCGCCCGCCACCTTCGCACATCGCACCCCGACCTCACGGCTCGGCGGGTTACCCGCGCTCCGGGCCTCCGCTTCGACACTTTTTCCCAACCTCAGTCCCAGGCCCGTCGCGCGACAACCACGGTCCATTACCGTTACCACTGTAGTTTCACTATATATTCTTCGCTCACGCCTTCGCTCATTGGACTCTTGCTTCGATAGTGCAATTCTCGTTTGTTCACTCAATTGCACTCGTAACACTTGGTATTCAGAGCCTACGATCTCCTCTCGGACCGCACCCACACCTTCGCTTCCCCACTATCTCAATTTTTGGGGGGGGTAGACGTCTCTCAGCGACACAGCACCGCCGCTCGTAGTGCTCTCTCGTAAGCACGCACGGCCACGACCGAGGCTCTCGCTGAGCTCGCCCGACACCCCCGCCATGGCCGAATTCGCGCTCGCCACATTGACGCAGGAGCAGCTCGACCGTCTGGTGCGCCAACTTGAAGATTCGGCGCTTGAAATTGCGACGCTCACGGCGGAACGTGACTCCGCGCGTCAGCAATCCACGATGAACACTCCAGCGCCACCACACGCACCGACAAACGCATCTGCACAATCAGACGAGCCGATCGTCATCTCGTCCAGCACACCAACACAAAACAACAGCGTGGGACAGCGCGCAGGCGCAGCCAGCGATGGCGCCACCCAGCCGATGCCTCGCATGGGAGGAAACACGGTCGCACCAAGCACGCGGTGCGGAGATTCACTCTACAACAGTAGTGAGCTAGACAATAGGGGTTGGCACGAACTACTAGAGGTGATCGTAGCTTTGCTTGGTTCCTTAGTTTATGCACTTTCACGGGAGAAATTGGCATTTGACACCGAGACGATCGTCCGCAGAGCCACCACCTTGGTCGACGGCGTCTGTGTCGAGCAGGGGCGAAGGTCGGTGCAGAGGACTCGTCCGGTGTAGCGTGCTCGACCGAGCACCTCCCCGGTCGTAGCAACGAGCAGCATCTCGTCGCCGTCACCCTGCAGCTGCACTCCGCTCTCCTTCAGTTGGCCGGCTGACAGCAGGTTCGCCTGAACACCCGGAACGTAGAGCACGTCGGGGATGCGCACCCGCTTCCCGGCCTCCCCTTGCAGAGCGAAAGTTCCACGACCCTCGACAGACTGTAATGCCCCGTTGAACCCACGCACGTGCTTCACTCCGTCGCTCGGCCCCATGTCGACGAAGACCGACTTCGTCCCCATCAGGTGGTGGGAGCACCCGCTGTCGAGCAGCACCGCCATCGAGTTGGCCTGCACAGCTGCTGCCACCGCCTGGAAGTCCTCGCTAGCCTCCGGTGCTAGCGAGACCGTCGGCTCCACCACGCCGACCATCGAGCACGACGCCTCCCCGTCGCCTCGGCTCTTGCCGCTGGAGCTGTCGACGTCCTTCGTCGAGGACGTCTTCTTCGACGCTTGCTTCTCCTTGCGCGGCTTCTCAACTCGACGGGGGCGACGACTGGTCGATCGACCGCGGCCTTCCTTGTTGTCGTCCTCGTCGCTGTCATCGCGGTCAGGGCACTCGAAGGAGAGATGGTCGGGGTCGCCGCAGATCCAGCACTCCCGCCGTCGACCCTTTGTCCCGCGTCGACCTCTTCTCGTCGACGTCCTTCGTCGACCGCCCACCTCCGCTACCACCTCCGCCTGGCTTCCCGCGCTGCTCCTGCTGACTATTCGGCTTCGTCGGTGTAGCGTAACTCGCCTGCGGAAGGAACTCCGTGGGCTGCTCTGCCTCCTACATCGCCTCATCCTGGAGGATGTGAGAAAATATGAACGAGAATGGAATGACTATGAACGAAGTGAGTACAAATAGGAAACCCTAATTTGGGTTGTACCCCCTATGGGATACCCCACTATAGCCTACAGAAACAAGTAAGCTATATATTCTGACACACCCCCATAGGCAAAGTGGGGGAGAACAAGGGGTCACAAGACCAGTCAAGCAAAGCAAAGCAAAGCTCAGGGTGGATCACAAAGTCACCACGCATTCCGAGCACAGGTTCAAAGGCCAGAAGGCCAGTTCACATGCAAGATCATATATAGAGATATACAAGAGTCAAGTAAGCAAGAGCAAGAGTATATATAGGCGAAGGTACAAGCAAAGTCAAGAGGAGAGCAAGTGAGGCAAGACAGGCACAAGACCCAACTGCGTGCAACAACGCTGATG